AGACACCGGGAGGGGGGGGGCTCTCACCGGTGCAGGGTCCGTACTCCCAGGCCAGGTCAAAGCGGCGCAGCATCTCCATGAGGGCTTGGTCCGGGATGGGGGGCGACGTGGGGGGGTCCTCGGTAGGTTGGGGGGCGCGGAATCGGAGCCGGGGGTATCCCCTGCCCTTAACCCTGCCCTTCACCTTCCCCGGGGCTCGGCCCGGCCGCCGCCGCAGCGGGAAGGAGTCGGTGATGAGGCGGGGTTGCTCCATGGCCCTGCGCGGGGAGAGAGCGGCGGTTACCGGGAAGCCATCGGCGTCGGCCCGCCCCTGCCCGGCGGAAGCGGCGGGGCCGGGCTGGGCTGCGGGGACCGGACGAGGTCACTCCCCGCCCCGACCGTCCCCGGCACCAAACGCAGTGTCGCACCCTCGGCTGTCCCCGTCACCCCACGCACTGTCACCCCCATAGTCCTCCCCGTCACCCCACGCACTGTCACCCCCGTAGTGCTCCCTGTCACTGCACACACTGTCACCCTCCCCAGCTGTCCCCATCACCCCACACACTGTCACCCCCTCGGCTGTCCCTGTCACCCCACACACTGTCACCCTCGTAGTCCTCCCCATCACCCCACTCACTGTCACCCCCCTGGCTGTCCCCGTCACCCCACTCACTGTCACCTTCATAGTCCTCCCCGTCACCCCACTCACTGTCACCTTCATAGTCCTCCCCGTCACCCCACTCACTGTCACCCCTCCCATCACCCAGGCACCATCACCCCATTCCGGCTGTCCCCATCAACCCTGGGCACTGTCACCCCCATAGTCCTCCCTGTCACCCCACGCACTGTCACCCCCCCTGGGCTGTCCCCATCACCCAGGCACCGTCACCCCCTCAGCTGTCCCCATCACCCCACGCACTGTCACTGTCTGGCTGTCCCCATCAACCCTGGGCACTGTCACCCCTGTAGTGCTCCCTGTCACCCCATGCACTGTCACCCCCCCCGGCTTGTCCCCATCACCCAGGCACTGTCACCCCATTCTGGCTGTCCCCATCACCCCACTCACTGCCACCCTCATAGTCCTCCCTGTCACCCCACTCACTGTCACCCCTCCAGCTGACCCCATCACCCCCACGTACTTGTCCCTCCCCCAGCCATCCCCATCAATCCCGGCTGCTGTCACCCCCACAGTGCTCCCTGTCACCCCCCGGCTGTCCCCTTCACCCTGTCACCCCCCGGCTGTCCCCGTCACCCCACGAGCCCTGCCTCGCGCTGTGACTCACACCCTGCAGCCGTCACCCTCTGCCCCACGCACTGCTCTGTCTGTCCCCCCCTTCTCGTCCCCCCCCTCATGAAGCACAGCCGGTGTTGTGCCGTGGTGACACTGTCCGGGGGGGTGGTGACACCACACCAGGTGTCACCAGCACAGATTTGCCTGATGTTTTTCACCCCTCTCCCTGGGGGGGGCAAGAATAGCTTTGGGGCAGGGCTGTGGTGCGTGCGGTGGCCCAGGGGGGACGGAGGGGGTGACACCCTGGGGACACAGCTGCGTCCCTCCGCGGTGACACCAACCCACCAGCTGGCCCTAACGGCCAGCCAGGTGCGAGAAGGGGAGACACAACCCTATAGCAGCCAGCAGAGAGTCCACACTCTTTTTGCTTTGGGATTTTTTTTTTGGGGGAGAGTGTTTTTATTTCCTTGCTTCTGGGGGAAAGGGGGTGACAAAGGGGTGGTGGCTTCACGGTCCGGCCCTCCCCAAGCCGGGGTTGTGCAGGATGAAGTGGCACAGGCCGGGTAGCCGTTGGTGGCCCAGCTCCTCCTGCAGCCTCTGCATGGCCCGGTTGCCCGTGGCCGTGTGCCCAAAAACGGGGTAGCCACGGGCATGTGCTCGCCGTGCGGCCAACGTCAACACCGCCCGCATGTAACCGTGCCGCCGGTGACCGGGCATGGTGTAACCGTGGGTCCCGGCGCCGAAATGATCGGTGAGGGTCCAGCTGAGGGGGTCCCCGTCCCCCTCCCGCAGGCAGAGGTGGGGGTATCGCCCCAAAAGCTCCCCCAGGTACCGCCGGCTGCGCCCGTTCCCCCCGTAGGCCCACGTCTGGTTCAGCAGGTCCAAGTGGCTGGTGCTCAGCGTGCCCACCCGCACGCCGGGGGCTAGTCTGTGGCAAAAGGTGGCCATCAGTCCCGGGGGGGTGGCCATGGAAGGTGGGATTATTTTTTGGGGGTGTATATAGGAAGTTGGGGGGCTCACTGGGGCTCGGGCATGGTGCTGGGGTCGGGGTGCAGGTAGGTGTAGTACTCAGAGGCTTCCAGCTCCACTCCCTTGGTGGCCGCGATGGCTCGTGACACTGTGGCCACCCCCTCTTGCAGCCCTGGGGATGGTGATGTCAGGGGGGGGCCCTACACCCCCATTTCCCCCCCC